GGCAGAGTTAAGCCTTCATGAATAGTTGTTCCATTTTTCGTGAGACTGTGCCTGCTGGCTTTTGATCGAGTAACTTTGAAGTGGACAGCTTCAAGATTGCGTATCTTTCGAGATGACTATACATATATCATACTTCTGACAACCTTGCAATATGTTTGCAACTGCACAGCATGTCCTAGAATACTGTATGCACAGGATGTACCAGAATATGCTCAAGCGCTGGTCAACTTGTAGGCAAATGGCATAACACTGGTTAACAACAACAACAACAACAAGAATGCCTCATGCATGAAGTCACATGATATGGCAGTTTTTGAGAATCGGAGGAGGGGGGGTCTTAATTCTTAGGGTGCGTTCCTCTGGGGTGATCTGGATCAGAATCAGTGATCCATTAGATCACTCGGATCATGGGTGCATCAAAGGAACCGATGAATCCACTCTCGTCACGGACTCATCGGTTCCTTTGATGCATCATGATCCGAGTGATCTTGGATCACTGATCCTGATCCGGATCGCCCCAAAGGAACACACCCTTAGATTTCGAGATTCGGAGGGAGTCTGATCTTATATTATGACTTAGTTTTTGAGACAACCCCTGTGGAGTGAAAAGAGTCTGTTAAGTTATTATAACTCACCTGAAAAATCTTCCTATTCCCTCGACTGAAACTCTTAGTCTTCTACGTTGTTTAGCTTCCCAAAGTCTGTTATAATACGCCGTGAAACCCAACACAGACGTGGCCGTTCCAAAAAAAACCCAAAAACCTCTTCTTTGAAACAGTTTTTTTCTTGCAGTGTTCTCCGATGCCACTGAGCTTTTCAGTCGTAAACGATTCGTTCTACATCTATATAAACAAAGCGTAAAATTGCTCCTAGTTAGGTTTGACCAAAGTGAGCGTGACCCGGCCGCCATCATTGTTTTTCGTGTGTATATTTCAAACCTTCGTACTTGACGTAGCTTGCACGGAAGATGGGAGTCTGGAGCCAAGAGTCAAGATGGCGGTCAACGAAAGGGTGAACGCACGAGGTTGGCCGAGAAATCGAGCGGCAAGCAACGCAGGAAAATACATGACCGGGCCACAAGGAGCACAAGTAGATCGTACAGTACGACTGTAAGTGTTTATATTGGGAATTACTTCGTTTGCTTGCCTTAGGATTGTGTGCTTTCCGCAACTGTGTTCAGCATTCGTTATCAGCTTCGGTAATTCAGTTCTTAATTTAACTTTAGCTTCACTGATATTTTAGTCTCTAGCTAGCTTACTAGAGGGAACAATATAGGCGTAAAGTAATATTAAATCAAGCTGAACTAGAATCCTGAAGAGCAATTTCTGTCTTGATCTACATTGCAGACTGTAGAACACAATCACATACATTTAGAATGATTACTGACAACACAGATTACGGCGTCAGTACAGCCGTCTCAGTGTTTGACATACTGTACACTATAGAGTTTGAACTCATTACACTCATGAATTCGAAACCTGCTGGAAAATACTTTTTAATTTTCAATGTGAAACTTCAGTAGTCATCTGATAATAAATATAAGTCGACTTATTCCATTTCGGGAATGCTCTTTTAATGATTTAGTTGGTGCAAGACTTGCTTGTTCCCTTGCCCATTGGGCAAGTGAGAATGAAAAGTTACTTGCCCAGAAGGAGAATCTACTTGTCCCAGACGACCGAACGACCCTTTTTTTGAGCCCTGTTATAAGCTTAAGTTTTATATTATGTATATTAAGCTTATGTGTATAATAGATTTGTTTTAATTCATTGAAGGTACCCCTTGACAAATTACACATTTGGTACAAAAGAAGCGTTATATGAAAAGGATAGGTAAGTCAAAGATTGTTATTTCAGGTAAGAGCCACTGTATGTGATCATAGACATGGAAAACATGAGTGGACCATGTGTGGTCAAATGCAGCTTCCCTTCACTCTACATACTATTCACTCATATTCCACTGCCAGCTATATTTCTTCATTGTCTTACAATTTTTGAGAAACACCACGCAAGAAAGAAATCAATCAATCAAGGTCAGTGCACATGATTGTATTAAGTAAAGGTTTTTACCTGACTCTGACTGGGGTTAAGGGAAGAAAAACAAACCATTATGTACAATACTTTTGTCTGAGATGATTTAGTAGATGTTTGCCTCATTTTTGAAATGCGTTTAATGTATTTATGTGCTTATACAATTAACTGCATTTTCTTTTACAGCTCTGTTCAAGCGAGATTTACTCGAATGAGGTATGGAAAACATACAAAGCATTGTAGCTATTCAGCTGCAGCGATAATAGTCACTTAGGGCTTCTTTACCACAGTTGCTGAGACGAAAAAGCTGTTGTTTATTCCCAGCATAGGTTGGCTGATGCCATCATGGTTGCCTTCATCAGAACTGAAGCTATTTATTTTGTCCCAGTAACCAGGCCAGAGTGTTCATGTGGGAAGAAAAACATGCTATTCTGCCTGGTTACTGAGATCTTGGTAACCTGGTATCCCACTTT